ATAGAATAAATAATGAAACTGATGTCGAGTTCTAATTTGAAACTCAATGGAACAGGTTAACAGTGGTAGATGTATATTTCCAGGAACACAAAAATTCTTGTTGCTATTAACTTGTTTCCTTGTCTCAAATAGTATTCGAGTTTTCACTTGCCACTATAGAATATTCACTAAGAGTTAGATTTTTTCTCCGTGTACTATTTTGTGAAGAAAAACCAGTCATTCCAACCCTATACCAAACTCTTGTAGAGCTCATCTTGAATGACTCAGCAAGAGAAATATATGAATTGCTGCTCATTGCAATTCATTTGTATGTGGTTGAGAAAAAACGTCGATATGAAAATAAAACCTACAATGTTCAGTTAATCTAACGTATTCATCATAATCATTGACTTCAAGCATGAACAAGGCATTGCACATTGTATAAGGAAACAGCACATGAAATGCTAATGTTGCTGTGTTGTTCTAATTACTTCTTTGATGGTTTCGGAAACATGATCGGTATCGCCGATGATAACCTTCGTTACAAAGTTTCTAATTGTCTTCACTCATTTCTATTACAGAAATAGGAAAATTTAAAATTGCTATTTCATAGTAAAGTTATGCATGATTTGATCGGAATTCGCAATGCCAAATATATTTGAATTGGAGAGAAGTCTTCGCTGACCAGTAGGGATGAAACCAGGGAATATTGATGATAGAACAATGTCGAAGTCTTTCATTGGCCTGTGAAATAAGGAGTTGATTACTTCAAAATAATTTTAATAGACTCACTACCGTTTATTTGAATTCCCCACTCAATAGTCTGATAAATCGAAAAAAAAATTCATTGCTACTGGTAAAAATCCGGATAATCTCATTGAAGTTGATATGTTGATAGTTGTTTGTTGTTTTTAAATAGCGACAAATAGGGCACACCGAAGTGAATCCTCATTATACTGGAGAAACATTGTGGGTTTTCAGAGATGATAGGCAATAAATGTGGTTATTTCATTTATTGTCGGAGTCTAGAGGTGATGAGTAATTAGGAACACTTCCACATGCAAAGCATTCCGAAGACTTGGCCTATATTATTAATGCTAACAGTAATTTTGTATGCAAACGCAATTTTGTTTTTCTCATAATAGCTAAATCTGTCGCCTGCTAAAATTACATACGAAATTGATATAATCTTGTACCTTCGAATACGGCTGACATTGCCCAACCAAATCTGATACAAATGTTAAAACATTGAATTATGGGTCAAAACGGAAGGTTGAACCAAAGCACTCCGCAAGTAATCTGAGGCTCTGGAATTCATTGCCTGAGAAAGTATTCCCAACAACATATAATCTCCAGGAGTTCAAAAATAAATTCCAATACCTACCTCCTGTCCCTATCCTCCCTAGGAAAGCACGATGTTCTTTGAACATTATAGGGATTTCCTTCCGTGCGCTCCAAGCGATAAAAAAAAATCCGTTCCATATGCCGCCCTTCGGGACCAACCTAGCGCTCAGTCAATTTAGCGAGGTGTGACTATTACAATACATTGTAGAGCTTCTTCAATGAAATTTTCAAGATAAGTTCTTTCAACAGGCAGCAGATTGATTTGGTTGATGAGCTACAGGGTATCGATCCAACAAGCCAATTCTTTTCCTATAATACAACTCAATTTTATGTTCCTTGAAGGGCATACGTTCGTAGATACAATCTTATAGTGTCATTGGCCAAACGGCGGTATATAAGAAATAAGAAAATATGACAAAAAGTGCATCTCGATTCGTGTGTTATGGGAGAGAGGAAGCTGCTTTTGCCTGGTAGAATGATTGAAAATAGTGAAGACTGAGACTGTGAGATTCTTTTACAGTTGTGAATTAGGAGATATGTGAAAATCAGAAGTTTCCTCTGCCTAATATACAGTGGCAACTGTAAATTGAGCAAAATACACTCTAACCAAACCATACCCTCATTTACAGTTGCAACCTTGAATTAGGAGGTGTTCTGACAAAATAGGTATCCGTTCCTTATTCACAGTCGCCACTGTGAATCAGGATATATTTGAAATACGTCTTCCTAATTAACAGTTGCAACTGTGAATTAGTTGTCTGGACGAGTGAAAGAACTTACAGTCACAACTCCACCACATGAACAATTCAATAATGACCAACGGTCATATGGACCTGAGGGCATGTTCCGAAGGATTAATCCTTCATCATTATCAGCGAATTTATAAAGAGAAAATCTGTTAGAACAAACAACGCTTATGCTAGTTCTCAAGTATTGATTAGAAATCTGAATGTACCTAGAGTCCGACCACGATAACTTTGGGACAGCACGTGGTCGCGTATGCATTGAATATGCATAGGCGTTGCGTCACATGCTGTCCCAAAGTTAACGTGGTCGGACTCTACCATTATTGGTAGAAATATATGTCCTACTTGAATAACGTGAAGGAAAACTATTCTCAACCATTCATAGTGCAGGTAAGTAACTGTTTGGAAACTGACATGATCACAGCTCTATAAGAGCTCAGTTTTCAAAAATAATCTGATATCAAGCAAATATCAAAATAAATCAACATGTGGGCCTGAATTTGATGAATTAGGTTGAATAATCACAAATCACAATCGTTAACTGACAATTGACAACAATGACGCTGAGGACAATACACAACATCAGAATGACACCATCAGTCAAGTCAGAACCAAGGAATGTTTTGATTCGAAATACACAGTAAAAAAAATAGAGTGAAATTTAACACTATACCTGTTCCCAGAAGGACCACTAAGCCCTAGAGTGAATGATTTAACTCTATAGTTTATTATATTATAGTGTGATTTTTTTCAATTCAATTAGTGTAAATGTTCAATGGAAGCACATTGAAACTTACTCTATTTATTTCTCTAAATATATTGAATGAACACAAAAATAGAGTTGAAAGACCCCAAGCTAGTGTCAATATCATCACTTCAGAGTGAAATTCAATAACTGAATATTACATAGTCACAAATGTTGAGAGTTGGGAATATAATAGTACAGAGTAGATTTCACACTATGAACAGTATCGGATCCACCGGAAATTGATTGTATTAATTACACTACCTATATGTCAAATGACTCCTGCATTCTTCAAATTGACACTACCATATGTTTAGGTGCTAATAAGGAGTTATCATTTATTCATCATTTTAGATTGATATAAAACACTAGTTGAGTAAACTAGTTACTATTTCCTATTGAGATTTCATCCAAGTTAGATTAACCATTATTTCACATGTCACAGTATTTATTGGACTCCGACAGACGTTCAGCGGCGAAATCTCGGCATAGTCTCTGCAGCGCCACCTGCATGCAGTGGCGCGAATTGACGGATGAGAAGTAGTGTGACTTTATAATATTTTAATAGTTTGATATTTGAAAAATGACTGGCGTTCCACTAGACTACTTAGTTAACCAATCTGTTTCATGAATCGTTCGAAATAATAATTCGAAACGGAAAAAACGGAAAATAACTGAGATAGGTATATACGGAAATACGTTAATAACTCAATATTGAGAAAAATCTCTCACTACGTGGGTAAAGTAAAGAAGCTACTTTAAGCTAATATCATGATCATTATATCATTGACACTATATCAGTATTTCTTATTCCACTATCCAGTAGACTGAACGATCTGAACCTGTATAGATTGATATTTCATCGTATATAGATTGAATTGAACAATGATAGAGTGTCAATTTAATCGACACGAGTGGAACATTCAAGTTCACTAGTGTCAGTTAACACTAGTATGAATTCAATCTCAATTGTTAGTGAATAGAGTTATCTGAATTGCTATTTCATTAAAATTTTAGGAATATAGAGTGAATTCAATACGACATTAGTGAAAATTCAATCTAGAATTATCTCCAATAGAGATAATCTGCGAGAAGTGTAGTTATAGAGTTGATTGCAGTATCAGAGTGAGTTTGCAAGAGTATTTCAACTCTAAAAACATACTCTGCGAATTTAACTCGAAGCGATTTTATACTGTGTAACTATCGAATTCAGTTTGTTCATTTTGAGGCAGTTGATGTTAAAGTTTCTAACAGCTTCATTGATTTATAGGGTTTCAAGGAGGTTGAGTTTCTTTTCTTTGTCACAGATATGTGAAATTTTCATGTTAGAATTCGGATCAAAAGGGTGGATGTGATTGATAATATGGTTAGGAAGAACAGAAGAGGAGAAAATCTTTCTCAAAATTATTTTCTTTGATACGATTGTGCGTTCTGATACTCTGGTTTCGAACTTGCGACCTGTTTGACCAATGCAGCATACTTCACAATTATAATTCATACAATTCAATTCAATGGCGGTTTTGAAAGAGGAATTGAAATTACTGATATTATTGATATTAAGTTTCTTTCCAGAATCTTTCTGAGTTTGAGGAAAATAAAACCATAGGAAGGAACGGAAAAATATCTGGATGTTGAAACAGACGTGGTTGAACACTTATTTGAAAATGTATTGGCATATTTCAAGTAATGTCGATCAATAAAATGAATAAAAAAATTATTATCAACTGCGATTTGTTTAATGCTATTCAATTCATCTTCGAAGTTGTCATTGTTTGAGGTTATTGTGAAAATTCTATGGAAAAGTGCATGGAAAGCTGGAAATTTCTGGCGGTAAGGGTATAACGAATTGAAAGGTATATGTTTTATCAGTACGTGTTGGTTTTCTATGACTTGAAAAGTTGAAAAAAATCGTTTTGTGTATCAATATATCAAGAATAGGTAACTGATTATTAGTTTCAATATCCATTGTGGATTTTATTCAAGGATTGATATAATTAAAAAATGAAAGAAAATCATTGAGTTCAAGTAGGGTATCTTCAAAGTGAGCAAGAATATTTATGATCATCATATCGGTGCCAAAAAATAATTAGTGCTTATCCACAGTTGTGACTGTAGATTAGGCAAATATTCGTGTTGTAATATTGTAACCCATAGTAGGATAATAATTCGGTCCTTATTCTTTCTAGCATCTGATGACGACATGTATATGACAGCGAGTGAAAGAGATGGACGTGCAATTTTGGGATACAGAGAGAATAATGAAGGTAGTGAAAATTCATTCTATCCCTCATTTTCGCCCTATGATAATCAACCACTTGGACACTCAAGACCATTCTACTATAACAACCAGCAGGAAGCAGCCTATAGCCATAGGACAGCTAATCCTTATCAGAATTCATTCGACTCAGCAGAAAGGTCAGTACCTATGAATCCATTCTTCTGATTTAACTTACAAAATATGAGAGGTGATTTGAATGATTATCAGAAAATTATTTCTCATTTATTATGTATACAGTAGTGATCTTGCTAAGACGGAAATTTCTCGTTCCGTATCGTTTCGTCTTTCTTTCAATTTATTTCAAAGCAAAACAAGATGCAACAAGAGGTGAGGCTTCAGGAGAAACGACCAGCATCCGATTTGATGAATGATACCGATTGTCAACGTATTCATTGGACAAGCCATGGTTATAAGAGTTGAATGAATATGACATTCGAATCAGGCAGAGGGGTATGATTCGAGAATCTGAATATTTCGCGATATTTCATAGTCTTCCATGATTTCCGGTTTCACCATATACGTCCCCTTACAGTAGGAAATTCATTTGAGTGTGGTTGTCCCAATGAGCACAGTGACATTGAAAGAACGTTGCTTAATGGTTTGAAACCGAACGTTTATTAGGGGTATTTCCCTAACGTTGATTCAACGAAAAAATATCGCACGATAAAACGTTTTTTTCAACCAAATTACCTACTTGAAATATACGTATTTTGAGAACGTTTTTTCAACTTGAGTATCAACGTGACATAAACGTGATGTTTCGACTTTTCATGATTGTCGATAATAAAGGTTTGTTTATTCAACGTTAAATTGACGTTTGAAAATGACAACTTGTACAAGTTGATAAAATCGTCGAATCTCCGATTTTTCGAACTTTATTCAACGTTTGAGCTAGATTACATTCCGTTATTCTCGTGTCCACAATGAATTCATTATCATTTCCATAATTATTGCAATTATTATAATTATAACTTACTAACCTGATAATATGTGTCCATGTATTTCCTTTCCGTTCCACTTTCCTCTCAGTGACGAACCTATCTTCACGCATTCCTATTGAAATTTGCTCGACTACTAGAATTTGACTGACTGAACTCTTGTTGTGAGCGTCGGCGAGAGGTAAAGGGAATGAATACACGTTGTCTAATGACGATTATCTAACGTTGTTAGAAAACATATACTCATTACACTTCTTTTCTCTACCAACCGTTATCAAATACTTTCAAAAAAACCTTTAAGTAACGTTCATTTCGAGAGTTCAATTAACGTTTTGGATAAACGTTAGTTCACCGTGAGGACTTTGCCGGATTGATGAAAAGTAGTTTTGTATCTATGTAACACACACGTTTTCAAATGACGGATGATATAGAATATAGTTTGAAGACAACTTATAGTACACGTTGACGAATAACAGTTGAAAAACGTTGTTGAAAAACGTTTCATCCATGTTCTTCTTCTACTCTCGGTCAGAAAATGTTGACAGATACTCGTTACAGAAATGTTTATCTCGAACGTCTAACTGACGTTTCGTAAAATCGTTTTATGAATGCATAATTCCAACAATTCGTTAGAACATATTTTTTTCAATATGTTCAATATGTTTATGAAACGTTCAAGTTCAACTTCATTCCAAGAGTTCAACAAAAGTTTGGGACAAACGTTAGTTTTCCTTGAACAGTTTAACGACAACTCACATTACATGTTGACGAAGAACAGTTGGAAAATGTTGTTGATGAATGTTTCATTCGGGTTTTTCTTTCACACTCGGTCAGAAGATGGTGACAAATTTGCTTTAAAGGGACGTTCATTTTGAACGTCTAACTAACGTTTCGGAGAAACGTTTTATGAATGCATAATTCCAAGAAATCTTCAGGACATGTTGTTTTCAATACGTTCATGAAACGTTCAGATTTAACTTTATTCCAAGAGTCTAACAAACGTTTGGTACAAACATAATTTTTTCTTGATCAGTTCGACTATGATATAGAATATAATAACAACTTATATTACACGTTGACGAATAACAGATGAATAACGTTGTTGAAAAATATTTCATTCGCGTTCTTTTTCCTTTCTCGGTGAGAAAATGGTGACAGAATCACGTTGAAGAAACGATCATTTTGAACGTCTAACTAACGTTTCGGAAAAACGTTTTATAAATGCATGATTTCAACAGATCGTCAGGACATATAGTTTTCAATACGATTATAAAACGTTTAGATTCAACTTCAAATACTTCAACCATATTCCAACGTGGAATTTCTTAACCGTAAACGTCTATCTAACTTCTTTTACGTTGATAATACCTTGAAAAACGTACGTGTGCCCATTGGGGTGGGTGAATTTACTGATTGAAATTTTTTAGTGGATTCTCAACTCGAACAAGATATTTCACCAATTTCAAGTCAATCGGACTTGGGCCAAAATTGACACATTATTGCGTGGACCTTGAGTGAAATTTGAGTCAATTTTTTTCCTAGTGCAACTCTTGATTTTTGGAAAGGACACCCTGTATTTTATTCCATGATCGATTGATATGTTTATTTCGAACGATAACGCAGATATTTGCGTTCGAAGTATCCATATGCAAAGAAGGTATGACGGCACAATTCGAAACTTATTTCTCTCTCACATTTACTGAGCATTATGGTTACTCAGACCGTGAATAATCCTAAAAAAAAAACGGTATCGTTGAATTTGTTATTATAATTCCTCACCGAATATGGAAATGAAATGAAAATCAGAAGGTGGGGTCGTTTCAGATGCAACCAGAAGCCAAGAGAGAGAAAGAAATATTGAAGAAATTTTCGGTTCTCGAATCCTACGCCTTTGCCAAATTTAAAAATATCATACCTTGGAAATGCTGGCAACCATGACTAATGAATTGGTTGCCACCCGTTATAGCTAATAGTTTCGATTATTTTCTTCAAACAAGAAGAATATGACTATCACAATCATTACATTTTCCATTGCAAGGTTGTATGTCCTACGAAAAATGTGGAGGCCTTCGAGAACAAACAGAGAGGTGTTCATGATGCTGTTGATGATGATGCAGTTGAAGAAATCATTCAGATCAGTTCGTCTTAGCGAGTGATGATGCTTCCGTGAATAGAAACTATATAGAAAGGCTTCTTGAAAAAACTATTCCAAGTAGAATGGGACTTGATAGAGTTGATGTTATCATAGTTGAACATCTTGAGAAAATGAAAAGTTGAATGAGGTGCAAACGTCAAATGATATAATATATATGTGATTAATATGATACCGAAAGTTCTTTCACAAACCACATCCCGAATTCACACCATAGTATTGATCCAAATTAGGACCTTAAAATTCTTCAAGTCTGTCCAAAAGGTAGGTTATTGAACTTACTGGAAATTTTAGAAATTTATTCTTCCTTGAATAATGATTCTGTCTTGTCTCTCAATGAACAAACACATCCTGATTGTATAAAATTTTTCAATGCTTTGGATTTCAATCGCTGTTAGTTCACCTACCTCGGTCTCAACTCTTATTCCATGGTATTTCATAGTCAATGGTTTCTCAGGTTTGCTCAACTCTCTCCAACATGCATTTCTCCTCCTACATCCACATTCTCTAATAGTTGTGATAGATATTGTTATATGCCTATGGTCATGGTCAGAATTTTATGTTTTATCCCTTGATATTGACATTGACTATGCCAACGTCTTGCCCATGTTGTTAATTGACATTATTTTCAGTGTTTTCTGATAAAACTAGTTCAGATTTAAACACGTACTGGCTGTTTGCCCCATCAATTTTATTGATATCTTCTTTGAGTAGTGCTTTTATGAGGGCACGGGGAACACCTTTCTCAAAGAAGACGTTGATTCATGGTGTTGTTAAAAAACACAACTTTTTGGCAATACCCTTTCATATACCATTCTGGTATATAAAATGTTCAATGAAATGGTTCAAATGGTATGCGCTCTCAGGGCACGAGGCCCTTCATTCATTGAGAATCCCTTTTTCCATTAACATTTGAATTCTTGGCTATGGGCATTGAAAACAATTCATGAATTCCAGAGGAATGAAGATGGTTGAGAAATACCGAATACATATCTACTGAGTATAATATATACTTACCCCAAAATAAAGTTTTTTATTAAAACTACAGGGCATTGAAGTGCATCACAAGGGCGTGATACACAATATCTCAATTTTCATACGATAAAAATACTTCCAAATTGGAGTATTTTTTCTTCATGTCACTACCTTGGATCATCACTTGACATAGTTGCCGAACATTAACACGGTGAAGTAAGTAAATGAGGGTTCAGTAATCACGAAACGAAAACAAAAAACCATTATCTCTCCTGATGAATTGTTGGCTAGAACTCTTGATTATACGAATCAAATGAATACATATACACCGTGTTCCAGATGATGATACGAAAACATCCTCATCTTGGATAAACTGTTCACGCAATACAATTTATCACCGATATAACTATGTAAATCCAAGCTATTCTCACTATAGTGGATAGTGAGGTAGTCCAAAAATACAAAATCTCATCCAAATTGAAAGAATTTTCGATACATTGCCGATTTATCGTGGGAACACGCCCTGGTGCAATTTAACTTGCTGTAGTAGTTCCTTATCAAATCCTATACTTGGAGGGTATATAAACAAATAATGATAAAATTGATAATGATCAAAATTTCCCAAAATCACAGTTTCGAACTTTCGAATTCAATCTCATTCGATTTTTTGTTATGTTATGTATGTTATGATATTATTATTTCTGGTGCAAGCTGTGTGTAAGCGCCGTTTTCTGTTTTCTGTCATGAAAGATATCTGTGAAGAGTGTCGCCATCTTGCAAACAACTGGAAACTAATATACCATTATTGTGGAATCTGCTGTCAAGCGTTTGGGGAAAAACAATACACTGTCTGTGATTACACCATTTTCTATTCACCTTGATCTTCACATATCGGGTATCCGTAGACGACTAATGATTGTGATGGAACAAGTGTTCATGAGTGAGTCACATCGTGGTAAACGAGTATGATAAAAATGGTAAATGCAGGAGGGATGGAATTTGAATAATGTACCTGTATAACTGTGAAATTACATCCTGCAGGATTTGAATGATTATCTTTTGAATTCCATCTATCAACAATAATCTTGTTTCCTTCCAAATCTAGAAAGTTACTTTTTGAAAACAGAGTGATCAGAAAAGGTGACAGGTTGAGAACGTTGGCGTGCACCTGAATGAATGGCTATCGAAAATACAACCTCTAATGATTCTTCTATTGAAAATAAAAACAAGTGGCGGAGAATGTGAAGCATATATCTGTAGATATTTCCACTCATCATTCAGCTTTTTCGATTTTTTCTATTCAATATTATCGAGATGATTCAAGAGAGATAATGTCATTTGAGAGAAATACTTGAAGGAATTCTGGTTGACGATGAATATAAATGCAAGTTACATACAAATCAAAACAAAGTGCTTGGTTCATCTGCAATCATTAGGGTGTTGATGAAGATTTGATCAATAACGTCACAGTGTCGCCATATTGTTTTAATGAAGGCTATCAGTTTTTCACAAAATGTTGCTTGTTCATTTATGATGAATGCTGTTTATGCTTCGTGAAATAGTCTAGCAAATAACTACTTCATTCTGAGAATCTTTCTTGAATACTGTATTTCTTTGTTAACTCGATTGTGTTGCCGTACAGCAATACCACTCCTAACGGACTCGTGCAGTTGCTCGGCAACACAATCATATGAACAGCAAAGCGAGAGAAATATCTAGAATATTCAGAACATCGTGAAATAAATGTTGAAGAGGTCATTTCTCGCCCTATCGATTGGCGTGAAAATATCGACGATTCTTGACCTAGATCTACTGAAGGTGAAAGCGGAAGTGATATACAGATTGTCCGAAAAGGTCATGTCGTAAATAATAGAGGGCTGATAGAGAGAACCGAAGGAATGTTAGTACTCCATATAAAAAATGTCTATCGTACTTCGTTACGGATTTATTGACTATCATTATCGAATGAAAATAGCTATTTATTATACAAGGGGAAAAAGTTGTAAATTTCAGCTCCACGTTGTGTGAGCTAAAATCTAATATTTTTCCAGTGTATAATACACTATATTTTTCTGTGACAGAAGAAAGGACGAATCAATATTGAGAAGATAATACATTATTTCGAAATCTGAAAATTATCGACGTGAAATTTTAAGTTTTCAACAGTAGGGACACCTGCGTTGTAGGCATCTTTATCATTCTTTTGAAGTAATCAAATATCTGATGTCACTTCTGTCAGTCTAATTCTGTGATTTGATTTCTAAAAATTGCGAATTCAGTGGTTGTTAAGTAATAAACACTAAGAGTAAGAAACACCCTGTATGAGTGAAAAATTAGAAGCTGTCAGACTGAAAGCTTTGTTCGAAGTGAAAACATCCATGGTACAACATCAGCAATTCTGAAAACTACAAAATCTGTAGGTAATCTTCTTCTAACTACTTTGTGTTCAGTGACCTATAGGAAATGAAAAACGAAACAATAAATACCTTCATTTATCTTTTGACATTCCGTTCTGACACAAATAAATTCAGTATACTCAATTATTGGTGAATAAGATGCCTCACATTTTTTAAAATTAAGAACAAGCGGATATTCATTTTGTTTACGGCTTTGCGAATGGATATTCAGCAGGGGCTGCCAGAGAATATAGGAGAAGGTATCCACTTAGAAAACATCCTCATTTCAATGTGTGTGTGAATATTTACAGAAGATTCGCTAATAATGCACACATCAGGGCATACAGAAATCCGCATGCCATTCGGCCAAGGAATTTTCAACAAGAGTTCAGAGTCAATGTCTGAATTGGAATTCATGGTAATCACCTGTTCGTACCCTATATTTTACCAGAACGACTGAATGCTGAAAAATTTTTGCAGTTCTTGTAGATGGAACATGATGGAACATACCAACATGTTCGAAAAAATTACATTAGATTTGAGAAGGAGGGTGTGGTTTCAACTTGATGGATATCCAACTTATTCTGGAAGAGATGTAAGATAAAGATCACCAAACCCTGGTTCAAACAAGAGATGAACCATTTAATTGGCGCAAGACTTTCAATTCAACGCCGGTGTGAAATGCGCATAAAACTAAACGGTTCATATTTCGAGCAGTTACTATGAGAGGTTTCATCAAAATTCATTTGTTTTCGATTTTTTGTCGCAAGGGTGAGCGCAGCCCTTCTCGTACTTGAAGCTGGGTTCTCATTGAATTCACGTTAAATTCACCATTCTTTTTTATTTTGCACAAAATTAGCATTGTTTTTATTTGGCATTCATCTAAAAACCCATACAGTTTCCAAAAAATCAGAAGGAAGCGAAAAGTATCCACATTGAATAGAGAATCTGAATTGATATTCCATAGAAAACAGAGGCGGTACGCAAAATAGTTCGAGAGGGTTAACTCGGGTACGACCCTCATAAATGTTTCATTCTGTAGGTATTCAAGGAAATTCGATAGCCCTATAAATATTGCGTTACCAAAGTGTTACCAAAGTGTACCATAATTCAGTCCATTTCGTTTGAAAAAGGTAGGAGAAAACTTGAAAACACGAGAAAAATCTCAAACTCTGAAATCCTTCATATCGAAAACGAAGCTCCCACACATTATATGTGTACATAAGATTTTCATCTCGAAAAAATATGTTTTTCAAGCTGTTAAGATCCTGCTACAATGAAGTGGCTCGAAAAATAAAGTTTCATACAGTTTTCGAGACAACAGAAGGAAGCAAAGAGTATCCAAATTGAAGAGAAAATCTGAATCGATATTCCATAGGTAACAGAGGCGGTACGCAAAAAAAATCGAGAGGGTACGACCCTCAGAAGTGTATCATTCTGAAGGTATTCAAGAACGCTCGATAATTCCAAATATTGTGTTTCCTAAGTGTGATAGGTGTTTCAATTCTCAACCCATTATTCTGAAAGAGGTAGGAGGAAATGCGAGGAACATGAAAAAATATTCCAAATTTTAAACCATGTATATCGGAAACGAAGCTCTCACGCATATATGTTCATATAAGATTTTCGTCTCAAGCTGTCCTGCTACAAAAAAACTGACTCACCTATATGTAACTGGGGAGAAATTTTACATTTATTCACCACCGTTTGATTTCTTCATTCTTTTTCTACAAAAAAGACGAAACTCATTTTGATCGATATCTAGTACCTACTTCTCCAGATAAAATTCGCATTTTAGGAGCATTCATCTTAACCATTCCAATAATAATAAAAACTCCATTCATTCAAGATCATCATGATAGTTGCCAAAATAATGTTAGTTTGATGTAACAAGAATGTCTATCGCACTTCATTACGGTGTTATCGCCCTTGAATGTTCATATGGACGCGCAAGAACATTCAAGGACAATTTCTTCGAAACGAAGTGCGATAACAATCACTTTATATGAAATACTGACATTATTTTAGTACACTCTATCAGCTCTAACATTCACGACATAACTTTTCTGGACACCTTGTATGATTAATTTTTTTTTCTTGGAAAATAAAAAAGTCTTACATAAAGAACAACTGAATGACGCCCTGGCTGATGAGTTCGATGTCACTCGCCATATGACAATCTCAGATGCTGTGAAACATTATCAGGCGTCTCTTCAGTTAAACTAAAACGTAATACCGGGTGAGTCAGTTCATTGTAGCAGAACTTCAACAACTGAGAGGAGATATTTTTCAAATATGAAAATTTCATGACAACATACATGGTATGTCACGACTAGCTTACACTATCTTCATATCGGGAATCATCCAGAAGAAATCCATGAAAATGAGCATGCTTATATTTCGGAATACGCTCTCTCCATTCCAAATATTTTTGACAATGCAGTGTTGCCGCTTCTACTAGAAAGTAATAGCAACATTGATATTTCGAATAGAACAACCTGTATTTCATCGCATTTTCAGATCCCACGTGGAGAGCTGATTTCAACGATATGTATCACTCGGGGTCTATCAAGAAAGATTACAGAGATATAGGGTGTTCAAATTCGTGATTTTTCAACTTCAGGATTTCTTTGTCGAAACTATTCATCATCGCTAAAAACGGCACACATGTCTCAATCTCAAGTTTCGATTCACTATTTTCTGATATTCAATCGGAGCAGATACAGGGTGGTTCAAAATTCAGACTTCTGTTCACCCTGTATCTGTTCTGATTGAATATCAGTAAATAGTAAATCAAGAGTTGGGATAGAGACACGTGAGCCGTTTTGACTGAAAATGTATACAAAAGTTGAAAAATCTCGATCTTGAACACCCTATTTCTTTGTAATCATTTCTGATAGACACCTAGTGAGATGTAACGATGAAATCAGCTCTCTAGGAAGAATCTAAAAATGCGGTATTCTATTTGGAAAAACAAAGTTCTTGCTACTTTTAGATAAAAACGGCATTACTGCATTGCTGAAAATATTTTGAATGTAGAGAGCGTATTCTTAAATATAAGCATGCATATTTCCATGGACTTCTACTGACTGATTCTTGATAAGAGATAGTGTAAGCTCGTCCTGACATACCCTGTATATGCGTGGATGCTTCGTTTCCGATACACAGGGTTACAAAGTTTGAGATTAATCTTGAGTTCTATAAGTATTCTCCTACATTTTTTGAAATAATGAATTGAAATTTGGTACACCTCGTACACCTTGTCAACGCATGAATGACATACCTTTGGGGTCGTGCCACGGTCGTGCTAACATTGAAGTATTGTATAGCGGAATCAAATCTCCCATGCATATATATGTTTACAGAGGATCTTCATATCAAAAAAATGTTCTCTGCAAACTGACTAACCCTATCTTCACTATTGTCGGAATCATGGGAATCTGAAGAAATGATTCGAACTTTTTGCATATTTTAGATTGATCGAAAATAAAAAAACTCGGATAATGTAGTATATTTTTGGGCTTCTCTGAAAACTTTTTCCATTTTGTATTCGGAGAAAATAATCTAAAACTTTCTCTGTTTCATCTAGATATAGCGGATATAAGGACAATCACACACCTCAGAAGCCTGACCACCTAGGAATCTTAGGTTCTGGTAACTTCGGAGTGATTCCTGGAGGTACGTTCTACAATGACAATGATGGTGACCAATCATCCAACTACGAGAACTACGATTCTTACCTGCACAATGGACATGGTCGTCCATCATTTTACTACAACGGTGGTTCAAATGGCAAATCTTACCCGCATGAGCAGTTCTCGAATTTCAAGGATTTTGCAGACATTAACACTCCCACTGATAGGCAGTATTCTCACTATGTAGTGGTCTATGTGCCTAATAAAAACGAAACGAAGGAAGAAGGTAATTCAGTGATCAAAGCACTTCCCAAAAATATAATGGAGAGTTTGACTATGCTTGATATGGAACACACGACAACGAAGGAGATCGTTCCATTGAAGAAATTGTCCAAATTCAAGAGGAAATTTGCTCAGCTCCTTCCAGAAAAAAAGCACTTTGAAAAGAAGATTCGAGTTGATAATGACTCTGAAGAACCACTTATAGCATTGAGTTAGACATAATATGATGAATGAGTGGATACAGTTATGAAACGATACACATTGTCACATGTGTATATGAGAATGTTTGTACATATTTTAGATACGCGTGCTCACTGTTATGATACTGAATACAGAGAGCATGAAGTCTAGTGATGAGTTCTAAATGTGTTCGTGGACATTATGCTCGAAATATATTACTGAGATGTTGAGTTAAACGTATTGGGATGAATGGACGAACCTTATTGATTAGGCGTTGAATTTCTTGTAATTTAATGAATCAATCATCATCTTATTTGTAATCAATAACTGATGGACTGACTCAGTCAGGTAGGTACTTAGATTGTAGTATCGACTAGAATATCACTTCACATCGATGACTAATACTTGTTTCGATGAGATGAATAGCTATATACAGTAGTATCTGCTGAACATTTTATTTCCTGCTATATAGAAGAAAACATTGATCAGGCAGTATATTTTGTGTATTTGTGAATTTTTTATGATTCAAAGATTATTTGATCTGATTTATCTATAATAAATTTATTTTCTATGACACAGTTGTTTTTAAACTACTTATACTTTGAATTGAAATTGAAGGATCCCAGCTCGGATCCGAGTATACTTACTTACTCGCGTTTCTTGATCGCCCAACTTATAAAGATGTCATAAAAATTAAGTAAATGGTTGTCATTTACTGATATAATTGGATGGAACAGTATGATCTCCATTGGCATTATACAGGGTATCCCGTAAAGCATACATCAACTCCTGAATCGGGAAGTCTTACTGCTTTCTTATCTTTTTACAAAAACTTTGGAGTCGTTAATTGAGTTTCACACTATCCTCACTTATTTTCTTGAAAGATATCATGAAGTTCAGCAATGTCAACATCTTGATGGGTAACTACTGCATATCAAGTACATCAATAGAATGCGTTATGATCTGCTATTTTCATAAAAAAAAGGACGCTTATTTCAATATCTGATTTGTGAGCGTTTCTCTTTCACTTAGTGACTTGATATACCTTCATAATTTATTTAATAAAAACATTGAAATCATCTTCCATTATATGTAGGAGATGTTCAGAATGGCAACTTATTCCATGTACAGAGTCCTTGTATTGACCAAAACAAATCCCAGAAACAAGTCATCTTGTGTCTTGTTTCTGAAACTTATTCACACCACTTCAAGAAAATATGATTATAGGTTCGATCAAAAAATATCTTTTCATTTGTGACAATACCTTTGAGGAAAGTGAAATGAACTTTTTCCATCAGGCGATGAGATCACTATTTTGAACATATACTATCTTCGTAAAATACCTCTGATGTCACTGGAAACTATATCAACCAGAAAGAAGTAGTCACAAATTGGGAACCGTTTACAATGTAGGTTTGAAGAGCCGTCCAATTTTTGATGGGAATAGCATTGATTATATCTTAAAAATGATAATTTACTCAAGTAATAGATACCATTCCGCAATTCTTACATTAACGACCATTCTCTGACGTGAAATGCAGTACAACTCCATCATCATTTTGCTTTCAATGCACTGGGATCAACATGCTTCACAGCCGTCTTCAATTTATTCACGGTATTATTTGAAGGTAGAAGTGGGAATAACCTCTTGGAGCTATTAAATTTTTCTGAAGTTATGAACTGAAAAAGTGTAGAATTGTATTGACAGTACATATTGATATAATGAGCCGAACATTTCTATATTATCATAACTATCGTTATACAAGGTGTCTTAAAATTAACCTGCAAAAAAAACAGATGTAGAGAACATGAGTCAAGGAATTTCTACTAAGAAAGCTACGCCCCCTTGAGAGTTGACTTCTGGAGATGATAGTCCTTGAATATTTTCGATAAGCCATGGAATAAAATTGAGCGTAGTGGTACAAGGAATGAAATTCCCATTCCCAATCTATTGAAAATTAAATCATACCAAAATCTCATCCAGCAGTGTATAATACAAGGTGGAACTATATTAAATATTGCTCAAACTTTTTTACTGCATATTTGTCTATGATTTGATCTCGGATTTGAAAATCCACACCGCTTCTAATGCAAAAGATGCTCCTGTTTAGTATCCAGATTGATATAGTATCGATCATCAGATGTATCATTTCCGAGTGAAATCGGAAGAAAACTATTTATATATCAAGGTAGCCAAGGTATTAATTCCCTCCCGCGTAACTAAGGACATTAAACACACATGAGAGGAAATCAACCTTTGTTTCCAAAATATATATTCGATTTTATCCACAAAAATTATGCTTCAAGCAGTTTTCCTCTCGAGTCTCGATCCAAATCCATGTGTTACCTGATCTGAGGTAACAATTGACAGTATTTGAATCGAACGAAAATCATTAGACATTTCTGTCACATTGATTTTGTTTATCGTGTAATAGTAATAGTGTAATCGCATTCAATGTGAATAAGTTTCAATTGAGTCAAGTTTTGAATATGAGGAGGTGTATGAGATTATTGGAGTTCACACAGGAAATGATTATTTGTTTTATAGTAGATAGTGATAGAGACACTGATGAGGTACTTCGGTAACTCAAATCTTATATTTTTATCTCCGAAAAGTGGGTTGACACAAATGAGGTAGCAAATGCTTACTTTCGATGCAGTGAGCAGATGAAACATATTGTCACATTCACATCGTGAGCATAACGTTGCCAATCTGAAAATCATTGTTACCTCAAAAAAATAAACTACCTCATTTTCATCAAACAATGTTATACAAGCGCGTGAAACAGGAGAATGATGATGAAAAACTACTCTTATTTTTGTGCTTTTTTTTATCGTATCTGCTACAATTGATTGCGATGTCATGCATGATATCTGAAAATATTCTTGAATCGATTTCACTCGAAGATGATACATCTGTTCGATAAGGAGCAATATTTCATTCAGTCTCACCCTGTTTTATACACTCCTGAATACAGTTTTTTAATGATTTGATTTTCACTGCATTGGGCATGGAAAGTTCAGTTTTTATACCAAGTCGCAGCATTTCATCACATGACGTTCTGAAAATATTAAAGATGTTTTTTCAAATTGTAAAGGAAATTATCCAGTTGAACAGAAGTTCGGATGTTATTTGGAAAGATTGATGAATCAACGACAATTTATCATCAACTAGCAACAATGATTGACTCGTTGAAGTTTGCGGAATTGATTTTTTCAATGTTCATTGTATCTACAGACAAAATTTCTCCAAATCGGCTCATTTTGCGATCTCTCCTAGTAAACTATATCAAGTTTGATATTCGATGGATACACCTCCAGTTCCAAGTAAGATTTCTCGATGATATCGTTGGTAATTGTTATTGTTATTATAAAATCAATCTTTCCAGTCTTTATTCATTGGAAAGTCAAAGTAGTTGTCAAGTTGTCAATGTCAATGTTTGATTGGTGTCGTGAGTAACAAATGACACCTCTTCTGTATTTGTTGCAGACTATTGCTATCAAAGCTATGGTAGTCGTAGTTCGTGACGCGAACGTCATTAATTTGACAAATGCCAAGGTTGACAAAACTGACATAACAATGGCAACTTTCAAACTCATGACAGGTGGTTGACCACAAAGTCTCCCATCTCGCTTCATCTTGAGGCAGTAATATGGAATAGGGCTAGGGTATGCCGTCTGCGATTTAGCCATTTCTCAAGAATTTTCTGGATGATGCAGGATAGAACGGTTTTTTCTCCTGTTCGAATTTCTTGATATATTTTTGGACGGATTATGGAAAAGAAAAAGTGCTTACGCTTCTTAACGGATTTTTCTAAAAGGGATTCAGAATTTTGAACAAGAGTACTCGAAATTGGTTCAATTTGATACGTACCATCAACAAGATTGTTGGGTATACAGTTCATATTTCATTGAATCCCCATCATTCACAACAACACGAGTACGTCCCAGAGACTTCCCAGGGACGTCCTCCATTTTCTACGAGGATGTCCCTGGGATATTCTGTGTCGGGACATGGTGCATACTAGGGACGTCCCAGGGACATCCGCTTTCCACAAAAAGAAGCATCCTAGGGATGTCCTTCTGGTACGTCCCTGAGATGTACCAAGTACGAAGAAAGGATATCCCTAAGACATTCTAAGGATATCCCAGGGACATCCCTTCGACAAAAGAACAAAAAATGTAGGGTCGAGTACGGATTGAACCCGGGACCTTTGGCTTATCAGGCACGCATCTTACTCCATTGGCTATTGAGCCTCCTGAAGATTTATGTACTAAACAGATTTATAAACAGGACTTTACTACAGGAACCTGAAAAAATACAACTTTGTTAGGATTTGGGTATAATTATTATATCATTCTTGAGTGTTTAAAAATTAGGGGCATTATTATGCATGTACGATTTCTATTTGCAAAAAATGGTAATTTCTTGAGAAGTTCTGAAACTATATCATTTATCTTTATTACGATTATTTTCCGGAAGAAAAACAAACATTTTCAAAAAAATGCAACTTAATACTTTGATGAAATTCAATGACTGATGTGAATGGATATCAGATATTCCAGGGACACGAATAGGATAACCTAGGGATGTACCGGGCGGGATGTCCACTGGACAACCACTGTGCGACATTCCCTGGGTGCCCCAATCATGTCCTTGTACCGCGGGACAAAAAAGGGGCGTACCTAGGACATCCCTGTGTTGTTAGGTTAAGTTCGACACATTTGGCTACCAACAATCAAAGGTAAAGTAACAACCTAGCATCTCATCATTCTCCTAGTTATAAACCTGCCTTATCATTGCTTCTCATCCTGCTGCTTGCCATTTTATTGATCTTGTTAGACGAATGAATTTTCAGACTTTTTCGTATATTGCTCTTCTGCATGCCTATACTATAAAACAACCGACAGCTCAGCTGGGTAACAATCAGCCTGCTTGTAAAATAGTTGAGCTTCACTAGCTAATAGCCCAGTACCAGCCCATATAGCACATGTACGTCCAATGAATTTCCAACGGATGTTCAACATGGACATAGTGGACGTCCATTGAACGTCCAGTCATGTACATTGGAACGTCCAAAAAACGTCCACAGCTCACTGGATTTAACATCTTATGGACGTACATTCAGGATGTTCAATGGACGTACATTCAGGATGTCTGATGGACGTACATTCAGGATGTCTAATGGACGTACATTCAGGATGTTCAATGGACGTACATTGAGGATGTTCAATGGACGTACATTCAGGATGTCTAATGGACATACACTCAGGATGTACAGTGGACGTACATTCAGGATGTTCAATGAACGTACATTCAGGATGTCCAATGGACGTAAATTGAAAGCAGTCAGTGGATGTCCATTAGAGACGTCCAATGGACGTACGGATGTTCAATGGACATGAACTGAAAGCAGTCAATGAATATCCAAACAAAGAATCCATACTCATATAAAATATTATTTATTAAAAAAATATCTGTAAGGTACAG